ATCCTCGATTCCCTCCCCCCACCCCATGCACCCACCGGGGCAAGGCAGCTGCACCAGGCACCGCTCCTCCACCGCCCAGCGGCCCCACAGCAGGGGCCCTTCCCCGAGCCATGCGCACTATGGGGGGCAGAGGCTGCATGCACTGCACACAGCTCCCTCCCCCCAAGTTTGCCAGCGGACAAAGCGCTGCTTGCACGGCTCGGCTTGCAGACCGCTCCCCCCAGCCCAGCCCAGCCCAGCCCAGCCCCGGCCTTCCTTTGTTTGCCATCCTCGGCCTCCCGCTGCAGCGCGGGGCAACCCCCGGAGCCGTCTACTCACCAGTGAATGGGGAAAAATACCGACATGAAGTCCCAGCAAAGAGGCTGCCCCGCGGGCTGGGGCTGGGGTAGGGGGCAGCACGGGGGCGGCAGAGCCCGGGCAGCTTGCAACGGGGCCGGGCTGGGCTGAGCCGCGCTGGGGGGTGGAAGATGGGGCCCCTCCGCAGAGCAAAGCAGCTCCGCACCGGCACCGATACCCGCTCGCCCGCCCCCCACCAGACCCGACCGCAGCCGAACACTCGCACCGCGCCCGGGCAGCTCCTTTTATAGGGGCCCCGGGGGCGGGGCCTGGCTGCGCCCGCCCCCTCCCCGGCCCCCTCCCTAGCCTCCCGCGGATGACGTCACCCAAAGCATGAATGGTGTGCCGTAGTGCCCCGGCCCGCGGCTCCGCCGAACGCCGCTGCCATTGGTCGGCGCCGCCCGCGGCGCGTGGCGTCGCTTGACTCCCCCAGCCGGACGCTCACACAAGCCGGCGCTCTACTGCGGCCCCTGCCCCCGCCTTCCCGCGGGGGGGAGGGGAGCTTCTGCGTGTGCGCGTGCACAGGGGAATGTGTCTGCGTGGGGGGGAGCGTGCGTGTGTGTAAAGAGCCTGTGTGTGCGTGCGCATGCATGCATGTGTATGCTGGAATGTGTGTGTATAGGGGAACGCATGGATGTGATGAGGGGCGTGTGTGTGGAGGGGTGAATGTGTGCAGGGGGTTATGTGTATGTAGGGGAATGGGGGGGTGTTCATGCTTGTGTATAGGGGAATGCGTCTGTATGTGTGCATGCATGTTTATAGGGGAATGTGTGCGTGTGTGTAGGGAGTGCGTCTGGGTGGGGAGTATGTGTATGCATAGGGGAGCTTTTGTGGGTGTGTACGTGTGTATAGGGGAATGTGTGTGCATCTGTGCATGCGTTGGGGCCAGCCAGCGAGCCAGGGCTCTAGTGGCTCCTATTTTCATAGAAACACAGGAATCACAGGAAAGAAAGGCTGGAAGGAACCTCTGGAGGTCATCTTTCTAGTCCAACCCCCTGCCAGAGCCAGGATCATCCCTATTCAAGCCATCCCATACAATTTAATATGGAGAAGAGAAGATTGAGAGGGAATTTAATAGAAGCCTTTAACTACCTGAAGAGGTGTTTGAAAGAGAATGGAGCAGGGCTGTTCTCAGTGGCAGCACATGACAGAACAAGGAGCAATAGTCTCAGTAAGGGAAGTTTAGCTGAGAAAAAACTTGAAGGAAAATCTCTCACTAGAAGGGTAGTAAAGCACTGGAACAGGTTACCCAGAGAGGTGATGGAAGCTCCATCCTTGAAGGTGTTCAAGACCCAGCTAGACAAAGCCTTGGCTGGGATGATCTAGTTGGGGATGGTCCTGCTTTGAGCAGGGGGTTGGACTAGATGACCTCCTGAGGTTTCTTCCAACCCTCATTTTCTAGGATTTTATGATTATTCACCCTGCCTCTACTCCAGTGCACTGAGAGGGATAGTCCACCCACCGGTTTCCAGCAGTGGACTGTCTGTGTGAAGCAGGGATTCTCAACTTGGAGGGGGTAGGGGGACACAGCCCCATGTGGGCCCTTGAGATCCCTTCCAGGGGGTGCCATGCAGTGTCAGCACTGGGAGGTGGGCAAACGTGCTTCACAAGATCAACCCAGAGATTTCAAATAGGAATCCACAATGTCAAAAGCGTTTTCCCCCATTGCAGGCTTCCTGAGTTCTCTACAAAAGAAGAAGGGTTCTGGTCATTTTCTGTAGTCAAGAAACAGATGAAGACAAAGAGCTGGCCTTTTCTGAGGGGTACCTTGAGTTTGCCAAGCGGTGCCTCCAGTCTAAAAGGTTGAGAACCATTGGTCTAAAGGAGGAGAAGTAATAAAGGTCCAAGCGAGGGCTGAGACTCTCTTCATGAGCACATCAAGTTGTGTGAGATGCACCCCAAGCACAAGTCCCATGGTAAATGGCCAACTGCCGTTTAAATCTTACCTGATCTGCACCTTGAGGGCTCCTATACACATGCAGGGAGGCTACTCCAATGCACTGTAATTACAGCGCTCCAGAGCAGACTTGACTAATCGAGTCTGCTGGAGCATGGTAATTACTGCTCTCCAGCAGACTCCAGTGTCATGTGTATCAGCATCCCCATGCTGAAAAATGGCAGCAGGGCACTTAGTTCAAGATGCCATGCCACCATTTTTCAGCATGGGGACATTGATACATGTGATGTGCCAGGCGCCTTTAATTAGCACGGCTCTCGGAGCTGCACTAATCAAACACTCCCCCCCTCCCCCCAATGTCTATAGACAACCTGAGATATTAGAAGAGATGGTGTAGCAGATCTTGCCCTGGCCCTGTGATGTGGGATGAATTTCACCCCAAACGCTTACTGTGTCATTTAGGATGCAGACAGAAGAGCAGCTCATAGCACTTCGCAGGAAGCACTATCAGTTGCAATAATCCCCTGCACCCAGCACAAGTTCACTGTTGGGTCTGGGAGTTGGGGATTCTAGCTACTTGCTGCTATCCTGCAGACCAGTTTCCATAGCAATGCCATTCCCCACTCCCAGTACCTACACTGTATTCAGAATGGGAGGGGGGAAGAGACAAGAGGGAGCTCATTCTTGGGACTCCCCAGCCAGCCACTGGAGGGTGGGGTGGGTGGACTCGAGCACCCCCACCTGGGGAGGGGGGTGCTCCAATCCATCTGCCCCACCCTCCAGCACTGGCTGAAAAAACCCCAAACCAAACTCCCTCCGCTCCCTTTTCCCCCTCCCCTTCTGAAAACAGCAACAGGCTGAGAGCTCTGCAGACACAAGTTACAAAACATTCTTCATTTTGGAGCATGCTCTTCTGATCCCTTATGCGATCACAGGATCGGGCCCTTTTAAAGTGATCTGCAGCAGTGCACTTCTGTTTGGTCATAGCTGTAGACCGCTTTCTGGAGCCAGATCAGCCAAAAATTGTCACTTTCGTCTGCACCCTTACTGGAGATCTCTGCAATACCTCAGCAAGCTGGGGGTAAGGGGTGGGGAATGTGAGCTCTAACTTTGAATTGCCTTGCCATTTGCAGGACAGATACTGTATTTCCCATGGAAGAATCCTGCAGTTCCTCCAAGCTTTATTTCGGCTGGAAAAGAAAAAGCTAATTGATCTTTCCAACTGCTGAAGAGAATTCCCACATGGATGCAGTGCCTGCAAAATAGAGTGTGATGGAGGGTCTGAGGCAGGCAGTCATTTGTTTGTGAAACTTTCAGCAGGAGGAAGTTGAGTAAGAAGCCACACAAAGGTCTGAAAACTATAAGATGAGTTGAGTGGTGCCAGTCTGTATTTAGCAAGTGACAACATACCCACAGCAAAGTGGAGGAAGAAGAGGAGGTGGGGGCTGGCAGGGGAAAATCCATTCTCTGTTTTGAAAAATTGTAGAAAAAAAGAAAAATATAGAACCACTAGAGCAAGAGAACAAATAGGTTTAGGTGGAATAAATGGATTTTGCTTCTCTCCTAAAATTAAATCAGTGGGGGCAAACAGCACCCTGGAGCAGAGGGCCTCCATGAGTCCTATGCATTTATTAAATCCATTTTAAGCCCTAGGCTATGTATGTAAACTAATGACACGCACTGAAAATCCTATGGAAATAGCTGAGCAAAATAAATGATAAGTGATACACAGTGCCTGATGCTATGTAGGTCTAAAGACAAATGATAGATACTTGCAGAAGAACAGCCTCACCCATTAGATAGGCCAGGCCTTCTGAGACCACAGATTTAATGCAAAATATTTTCACTCTTACCCTTCCCCTCCCCTGCTCCATCTTGTCATCTTCCCTGCCCCAGTATCTTCTCATAATCCTGGAGCTTACAGCCCAGGATAGAGGCTGGCTTTGTTTTACCTGCTTGTTCAGCACCTAGCACCGGACCTTATCCTCAAATGATATGCTTAGTTGCTACCATAACAAATTACGACAACAATAAAAATAGTGTTTGTTCCTAAGCAGTGTGCACAAAGATTGCCTCCTGGAATGGTTTTGCCTGTTAAAGGTGATCAGGTACTGGACTGGTGATGAGTATATAGTCTAAATGCTCAAACACTCAGGCACATTTGTGCCAGCAAAATGAGTAATTGTGCATGTAAGGATGAATGGTGTTTGTACTTACCGATATTGGGCCTTCAAATGCATTTTATGCAGGCATAACAGCTGCTCATGCACAAGCTGGAGGGCCTGTGTGTTAGCTTTATTTTTTGCAAGTGGGATTTCACAGGCAAATGTTGCCCTCAGTTACACCCACTCAGCCCCAAGACCGCACACATGGCTGCGTGTATGTACTTTTGCTCATGTGTTTCCCTAGAAGGGAAAGTTTAATCTTCTTAGTTTCATATTACATAATGGGAATGCGTGTTTTGCTTTTGCATTGAGATCCTGCAATCTCTTCTTGATGCCAGATTAAAGCGTATCATAAAGTGCTGATCAAACCTGCCCAAGGTGAGTCACCCCTGGGCAGCAGGGTAGCGCACAACTTTTCTTCAGAGGGATCTAAGCAGTGCAGCATAGGCTTGGGGCTGCCTATACATTTTACCCAGATCTGAACCATTTTAATACCATCCACAGTCCCCCTCTACACCCCAAAGTTTGGGCTCCAGTAAAGGACAAAAAGAAGAAGGAAGACTGACTCCATGAACAAACATGCCTGTTTGGAGCCTGTTTGTTTTTCGGACTTGGACAGATAAGGCACAAAAATAAATAAATAAAAGGTCAACCAGTTGTCTCTGAAACAATCAAAAAGTCTGATTGCACAATCCAGGTGATCAAGCAATTCTTATTCAAGTTAATGGCACTCAGGATCAGGCTGTGCTCCACTTCTTCCTCACCAGATAGTGTGATAGACAGATGCATTTTCCTGGTCCCTGGTTTTGCTCACTTGGGCCCAAACCTGTGAGGTGTTGGTCAGCACCCAATGATGCAGGTGGGTGCCTGGTGGTATTTACCAGAGCTCTTTGGACTTCACTAGGTATGTATTTGGAACTACGGGCACTTAAATACCTTAAAATATCTGGCCTATAACTTCCATTTAATACTCATAGTTTGCCTTGCCATCAGTAGGAGTGGATGGCACTCAGTATCCCACCAGACGTGGCCCTTTCTCCACTGCCTCTAATGT